TGAATTTCATCATAAAACTGTAACCCCCCCTTTTTTTGTGCAGTGTACATGATTGTTCTTATTTAAAAGAAAAATCAGAGAATTGCACATATTCAGCATAGCACATAGCCTCGGCACAGTATACATTGAACAATATCTATATTACATTACATTAACTATATATAAAATAATTATTCTTTCCGTATGTCATTAGTGTCATTAAGGCTTTATGTGTCATTAGGATCACTGCCATCCAGATAGATTTTGTGCCAGTGTTTATGTTTGGTGCTAAACAATGTCTTGTTAGCAGAAAAGTATCTCATTTTTTTTTAATGAGGATCATGAAAGTAGATAAAAATGCCTTTTAAGCTATGAACACATATTAATTTGTATTGGTTTTACTTTTTAAATCCTATTAATGTCATAATTGCTGTTAACTATAATCTTCAAAAACATACCTCATGCTATTTTATTTCATAGACCACTGTTCTGGTAAATCACATGTAATAGTTTAGAAACTTTGACTGTTGCATTGCAATCTAAGTTGGCAAAACCAGATATTCGCGATAGGTTATATAACTTTAAATTATAATTGGTTTCAATATTTTATGTTAAAAAAAAATTGGCTAAAGTATAATGTGACATGTAATTTGTGCATGCAACAAATTATAATACATACTGTTTAACACATGGCACATGAATCTTGAGTTAATATATTAAAGCTTAAATAAAGAAATATTAAACATTTAACAATGCTTGAAAGTACAGATCATAGAACCTGTAACAAGTTATTCAGTTGACAAATACTATATCTCACCACCTTTTACATACATACTTTTACCACTTATATCTTTCTTTAACAAAACAAAACAAAACAAAACAAAACAAAAAAAACCTAGAGAATTTCATTTGTAGTATTTAAAAAAAAAGTGAAAATTAATATAAAAAAGGAATTGATTACTTTTTCCAAAATGCACACTGATATAACTTGGATATATTGATTTTTATGTTATCTGTGAATTAAGATAGCAATGATACTTTCAAATTAAACAGCTCTAAATATATTTACAGTGTTTTCTTTATGATTCTAATAGGTTGGTTCAATAACGTTATAACCTTCGATTTTCTGGTTCATGAGTTACACATATAAAGGCGTTTACTCTTGTTTAAGAAAATTAATAGCTCAATTTATGGCATATTCACTCTTCCACGACCAGCACACCTAATACGGTCTTTCATTCAAACAATAAATGATCGAGACCGCATGTTCTGTTTCTAACCTTCGCCTATAGTACAAAATAGCCTACAGAGCAGTTTCCTGAAGTGCATTATGTCAGTTCATCCTTATTGTAGACTGGCTTGTCCCAAAAGGAATCTTGAGTAGTTCCTTATCTTTAGATTAAAGATGACACAGTATACACTCAGTGGCTAATTGCAGCCCCTTTGTCAGGAAAACTAGAAACAGTATCATTTGAAACATTCACATCTCTTAGTTCATTAAAGAATGGCGGGAGAAACTGTTGTAAATCTGAAAGGGAATTTGAGATGGTTTGGAATTTTAAGCAAACAGAGGAACCTTGGCCTTCAAAGGATTAAATGCATATTTTCACAATAAAGTATAATTCAGTTTCTAAACTAAACTAAGTGGTGCAACAGCTATAGTGGGCCACAGCCTGCAGTGCCCTAAAATCTGCTTTCTTGACCTTGGGCCCCATAGTGCATCAGCATATGCCCTGGGCAAGTGGTCAGCTTGTCGCAGGACCCCGGTGTTTAATCCTCAAGCAAACTTGGTGCTCATTTTATTGACCCATTTTCAAGGGATGAAAGGCTGAGTCAACCTTGCCCAGCCCGGAGGTCGAACCCCGGACCTGTGGTGCAACTGCACAAGGCGCTAACCGCTTTGCCACTGAGCGGTTAATTCAGTTTCAGTAAGTATAATATTACAATCACAAACTTTGAAACATCTTGTAAGAAACTGCTACAATGATCACACATAAGATAAACTTACATGTGATCCTTAAATTTTCCATTGTAAAACAACATGTGCCAAACATTTTTTTGCAGAAATATATGCACCAATGTTGCCTAATGACCACCATTAAATTAAATGTTTTATTCTTACATAACTATGTTCTCTGTCACAAAATTTATGTTTTGGACAGGGCTGTGCAGACAGTAGGAAAAATGACCGACTCCGACTCCTTCATATACAGTCAAAAGTCTTTAATCCGGACATCCATAATTCGAAATGATCTATAATATGGACCGACCTCAAAGCTACAAACTTTCTGCACATGCGTCAACGCATGTGCATAATAACTTTACGCATGCACATATGCATGTGTGTTATGTATGTATAACGGATGGTATAAGCTAAGCTAAAATTATCTAATTATCTATTTCAGTTAATGTTGCAGATTGCGTTGTTCCTTAATCTTCTAATTGGATCCGGCTTATTATTTTTTGCAGACTGTTAGAGCAATTTTATAAAAGTAAGCTTGAACTTTCGATTATGTCAAAAAGAATTTCCGATTCTGGAGCTACCAAAGGATCTACAAAGCGAAAGCATGTTTCGATGCTCATCAAACAAAAAGTAGAATTGCTGCAAAAAATGCATAAGGGCATATCCTTTGATTCTCTAATCATTCCGAAATATGTTTATCAATTCCACGCTACTCTGCGGGTGGAGGGGACGACGTGGCGCACAATGAACTGGAAGTTGATATGTCAGCACTACCCTTATCTTCAGGGCAGATGTTTTTATTTTATTCAGCTTATAATTCCTTACTGAATATAGTATTTCATCTCAATGTACTCCGTCTTTGATATGATTTAAATCAAATTCCTCGTCATTATAAATATCACGAATACACATCAAATAGTTTTCTGGTTGCAATTTTCTAATTTCGACTATGCGTAATATATGCTTTACGCATGCGCGCGTTGAAAGAAATGTTTAATAAAGTAAACAAATAAATATAAAGCTCTTTTTTTTTGTAAATTTTGATACCCTTTAGATCATAATTGCTCTTTATTTCATAAATTATGGTTTCATATTTTTAATTTTATAATTTCTGCATGCCATCTTACCAGATTTAAACTGATGATCTATAATCCGGAATCGCCGAAGTCCCGATGAGTTTGCATTAAAGACCTTTGACTGTATATGTAAACATACAAACATGGGTACAGCTTATTTTTTTAATATAAAAGAAGTAGTAGATGCTACAGATAAAAATTGATGCATAGCAAATTTTTTATATTAATTAGCATTTATTATGAAATGGAAAAATTCGCATTAGTAATTTCTAAGAAACAGTAAAACTTCGGCAAGATCTTCTTTCTTAGAGGACCATACATCCGATTTGATAAACTTCAGAATTGAGAAGAGTCTTTACACACTGACTTGAGCAGAAGAGATGTTACTGTTACGGCTACTTCCTTTAACTTTTCAGGATAGACTTTTGTAAGTTCTAAAAGAGGTGTCTTGCAAGAGCAATAATATTTACCTATTTCTCCAAAGGCCGTGTATAAATCTTGTTTGCATTTTTTCATTTTTATATCTAAAGGCTCCTGGTTCTTTATTTTTATTCGTTTTGCCTTAGCCTTTTCAATATTATCCAAATATTTCTCAAAATCTAATTCATCAGTGTAGGAAGATGACAGAGACTCAGTTGCAATATCTGCAGTTTAACTGTCCTGATTTGAATAACCCATTTGTTCTGAGAATAATTTCATTCTTAATGAAAATTCATAATGGCTTTCTTTGCCTTTTTAATTTGTTTGTCATTCAACAAAATTTGGCGTTTTGGATCTACATATATTGAACCCAGCGTGATCTTATTGTCTAGCAAACTAGTTTCTCTTTTCTTCATTGAAGAAATATCTTTTCATTTTTTCATCTTTTCTTCATTGAAGAATTTCTTCTGCAATAAACCCTCCATTTCAGAAAGAACAAACATTGCATTCTTCCAGTCTTCCCTCTTGTTAATTCTTTAGATTGCAGCTTTTTGGTGGCTATATACAATATAGAAAGAAGAGTTTCCAATTCTGCAAGATCATTCCACAGTCTTTCTGTTACTGAAACATTAGGGTTATCTACATCTTCTAACGTTCTCATCTCCTGTTAATTCTTCAGATTGTAGCTTTTTGTGGCTATATATGGTGTTGAAAGAAGGATTTTGAGTTCTGCAAGATCATTCCAGTCTTTCTGTTAGTGAAATATTAGGGTTATTTACCTCTTCTGAAAAAGTTCTTAATCCTAACAACCACTATATCATCAAATACGTACTTCTCCATTGCATTGCTCCTTTTTCTGCATGCTTCCTAAGAATGGCATCCATTTTGGGAGTTCTTGCTGCTTACCTCAATTCACCAATGAGATTAGTAACTAAGAATCAGTTTAATCAATAATGGCAAATATCACATCCATCCTGCTCCCTTTTATTTATTTACTAATATGTCAATAAAATAGAAAATAACTATTTATTAATGTATATAGTCCATAAATAAAAATATTAACTCAGTTTGCCATTAATTGTTTTCAATCAACTTTAATTTCATTTCAAATTCAAACTGTTCAACAAAAACTGGAGTCAGAGTTGACGTGTTTTTTAGCGACTCCAACTCCGACTCCTTTTACCCAAAAATCTACCCGATTCAGACTCCATGACTCCGACTCCACAGCCCTGGTTTTGGAAAACAAAAAGGGTGTCATTTTATTGTGTTCAATCATTTTTAAAATAACTAACCTTCTTATGTTTTTAAATAAATTCTACCACAATAAATATGACCAAATCATGAAAGTACAGTTTCTTGCTGATGCATATTCTTTTTAGAGAATGTTTGGCAGATGCTGTCTTATAACAGAAAATATCCACTTTTATTTTTTATTTTTTTTTATTATTTTTTTGATTATATTATTAGCCACAGGAAAATCAACAGGTCTTCGGTATTTCTCATGTATCAACAGTTTCACAGGAATTCCACCAAAATATTATAAATGAAATACAAAAGCTTACTTCACTGTTGAGGTAACTAAGGCCAGAAAGGGAAGGGCTGTTCTCCCATTTACATGCAATCTGTAAAGTTTCTGCTGTTTTCTGTTGTATACTTTTAGTTTCATCGAGCAGAGTAATTTCATAAAATTCTTGAATATCTATAAACAGACAAATAAAATTATATTCTCAAAAACTAAAAATGTGTAAAAAATCTACATGGTACTATTACAAATTGGTTATTGTCACAAATCTGTAATCACTAGGATATTGGCAGTCAAGGCAGATTAAATTTCGTTATTATTTCAATTGACATTGTGGCCAGAATTCACTTGGCACTCTTACCTATTCAAGACCATTTATATTGGTACTGTTGTGATAGAAAGTGAGCAGAACAAAACAGAACTTAACGGGAAGAGAGGTGGAAGCTTAAGTGTGCAATTATCCGATACAGTGCTCACAAAGAGAGGTTTTTTTTTTTTTTTTTTTTTTTTTTTTTTTTTTAAGGTTGTGTATTATTAAGAGAAAAGTTTCTGTTCACAAAATTTTGAGTTCATGTTCCGAATTAGCTACATTGTCAGTGTTATGCAAGCCATGTATTTAAGCCTATTATAATAATGTTTTTCTATGATACGAAGAATAGAAAAGATTTAAATTTTGCCAAGAAAACTCAATTCAAAATGCCTTTTTAGGCAACTGATCAATTTTTTAATAATTCATGATGAACTTAATACCTAAATTAATATCATTAACTAAGTTAATGCTATAAATCAAAAATGTTTTCAGAACTCAGTTGTCAATGCCTGGATCAAGGACGCAGACCAGGGAAGATCATACATGTTTTAGCAGGACTCTACTTTCTTTGATGAAGCCTATGCAAACCAAAAATGGCTGACTGAGAATTTTTATGATCATGTGACCCCAAACATGTTGCCTCCCAGGTCTCCAGATCTGTACACCATACATTATTACAGCTGGGCTATCACTGATAATAAGACCAACAAGCAACCAAGGCCATCTTGAGGGGAGAAGGCCGAACCCAAATGTGTTCTCCCGTGATGTGATGTCGCAAGCGAGGGCAATCTTACTAATGCCATCTCCAAACATTATGAGTGTAAACGAAGCATACGATTAAACTAAAAGGTACGTAATGTTAGCTATTCCTTAACTTTATTAAATTTAACATTTAGCACGATGTATCAAAAGTTATGTTTATTTACTAGCTCAATTTAATGTTCTCCTTTAATTCTGTTTGACCTGTACTTCATGAAGTTAATTCGTAATACAAAATAAACATTTTTATGATGAATGCAAGCAAAACAGATCTCACCATTTTTATTCATGTTCTAATTTAACAAGTGAAAAGCACTCATGTTAAATATATAACAATCTAGTAAATTTCTTTAATTTCTTTCATTTTCAAACTATGTATCAAATGCGAATCTTGTAACTCTTTATTTGAATAATTCCTTCTTCTAAATTAGACAATAATAATAGTAATAATAATAAATCCTCGAAAGTTAAGAAATATTAAGCTTGTACATATATTTTGTACTCAAACAGGAGAATGAAATTCCCTGAGTTCTAGGTTTAAGAAAATTCCAGTCTATCTGCATAGTGTGCGTTGACTGTGCTGAGAGCTAAATTATGGTACCACTTGAAAACACAAAAATTTGCCAATTGCATATGACTTACATACATATCCCCAAAACATTACTATTACAACTATAATAGTTTTCTCCACTGAATATTGAAATTAGACTATGTCCAATCTGGATTTAAAAAAAAAAAATTTTTTTTTTTTTTTTTTTTTTTTTTTTTGCAGACATTTTGCAGCTAAAGAGGGGAAAAAAAAAAGAAATCTATTTATTGGTATTTTAAAATAAATTCAGGTATTTTATTTTTATTTAGCAGCATACATTAAAAAAAAATGTGCATTACATTTTGTGAAGGTATGTCAGCGTGCTGCAAGAATTAGTTTCAGGAGTATGCCCCAGAGAAAATTGCCTGAAATTTGAAAGTATTATTAACTAATAATAAATAAATTTAGAAAGAAGAAACTACATTAAATGATACAAATAACATTAAAATAATTAGTTAATTACTTAAAGATTAAAAATTGAATTACATTATTCAATGATATTTTGGTGAATATGGTTTATATTAAATATTTAGGCTAGATGACTGATAACTATTTTTTAAAAAAAGGTTTAAAACATTTTGTAGTAAAATCCTAGCATACGGTATGGCCTTAACACGATTTTGAAAATTGTTGGCAACATCAAAATGACCCGTTTACTGCTTATCCTAATGCCAGGAAATCCTGTGTGTACCATATACTTGGATTAAACCGATTTTGTTTTATACCAGAATGGAAAGGTGTTTTCCTTTGTTCAACATGCACTTCCCATGTGCATGCAAGTCTCTGTATTCCCGAGGTTAGTGGAAACCAAAGTTGCTGGAAACTTGCTTTGCCTTTCTAAAAGACACTCTGATTGGAGCTGCTAAAATTGGCTCTACGCCAACTGCCAGAATGAAGTTCATGTGATACATAATTCACCAAGAAAGTGATCACTTCCAACAGGACAAAAATTGTTCCTCTTTTTTTTTTTATTGTATGAAATTCATGATTTTTCCAGATTTTGACAAAAATATTTAACTTCATTGAACTTTTCCCTGACCTTTTTGGGTCAATTTTCAAATTCCCTGACTTTTTCCGGTTTTCTACGTAGTGTGGCAACCCTGAGTACATTCACTAAGCTTTTAAATAAAAGTTTATTAATAATTACAGTCTACAGCATATTGATTATACAACATTAAATAATTCACTGTAATTAATTTTCCTTTAGTTGTCATTTAATTAAGGTGCATAATACAATGTTAATTGAATTTCTACAGATGCTGCAAAAATGTAGCGTTTTGGGATGCAAGTCAAATTACTACCCAAATGCAGAGCATATTACAACTTTTACGTTCCCAAAAGATGAACTACTGTGTAAAATAAGGATTAATAAAATTAATAGAAAAGACTCTGCACCAGGATCATGTACTTGTGTGTGCATTTTGCATTTTGGTGAACGTTTCATCATAAGAGACGATAAAGAAACACAACCTGACAGGACAGTACTAACACTTCAAAGAAAAATGCCAATTTTATCAAAAGATGCATATGCGACTATTTTTTACAGACAACCTAAATATTTATTTTCTTCTTTACCACAAAAACGAAAGTTTTATGTTTCATAATATTCTGAAACATTGTTTCTGACTTTTTATGTGACAACAACCAAAAACATTTATTGACACATTTTTCTGAAGAAAAACAAGAACTCATGAATACTGGATCTACACAGTTAGTATACTGATGTAAAATGGAAATTGGTAAATTACGACAGTTATCTTTATTACCAGTTTCAAACATTTTATTGAATAATTATACTAAAGTTTGTAATGATCATTTTAAAAAACAAACAAAACTCCAGAAAAGGAAATATCAATCCTTATTTGCAGTAATTTAATACAAAACAAAGTCTTTAATCCAGACTCGTCAGGACTTCAGCGATTCCGGATAAGGGGTTTTTCCAGATTATAGATCATCAGTTTAAATCTGGTAAGATGGCATGCAGAAATTATAAAATTAAAAATATGAAAGCATAATTTATGAAATAATAAGCAATTATGATCTAAAGGGTATCAAAATTTACAAAAAAAAAAGCTTAATATTTATTTGTTTACTTTATTAAACATTTCTTTCAATGTAAGTTGTTTAAGTTGCTTTGTTTTATGTCCTAATACTTTCTCTTTAATTCTATAAACAGACATAATTTCTTGTTCAGTTACAAAGTTCTGCTGTTCAAGTCCTGTAATTGCTGTGTCGAGAATACTGACTAACTTGTCAATCGAAAATTTTTCATTTTCAATAACCTCTCTGTCACTTTCTTCACTATCGGAAGGTACATTGAAACATGCTTTCTCTTTGTAGATCCTTTGGCAGCTCCAGAATCAGAAACTCTTTTTGACATAATCGAAAGTTCAAGCTTACTTTTTATAAAATTGCTCTAACAGTCTGCAAAAAATAATAAGCCGGATCCAATTAGAAGATTAAGGAACAATGCAATCTGCAACATTAAATGAATTAGATAATTTTAGCCTAGCTTATAGCGTCCGTTATACATTAAACGAGCATGCGTAAACGTATCATGCACATGCATAAATGTATAATGCGTATGCATAAACGTATTATGCGTATGCCTAAACGCATATGCGCATGCGTCAACACATTATGCATTGACGTGTGCGCAGAAAGTTTGTAGCTTTGAGGTCGAGATTATGGATGTCCGGATTAAAGACTTTGTACTGTATTAGTAATCTGGAGTCTCTTGTTCAAGATGTTTCAGTAAGTATACACTAATAAGGTTAATTGTATTGCAATAGTTACAATGTTTTTTATAGCATGTTAGAATAAAAATATTAATTACATTAAACGAATTATTATTCCTTTACATTAGTTCTGTATGTTTTTGTATTAACTTATGTTAAATATAATTTCTGAAAATTAAGAAACAAATGTTCAGTTATGAAAATGAGTGTTTCTTAATTACTGCAAATTTTTACATTGAACATCTTTCTATGAATAACAAATGCATTTCATCCATATAAATTGGCAGTGGTGCAAAAACTTAATCCACACAATTTTCTTTCTTGGAAAAATGCATGTAGAGCCGTTTTTGACAATACGCCTCATGATGTCCTTGTGTTCTTTAGTGATGAGACTCATTTTCATCTTTCCGCTTGCAGCATGTATTAAGTAAAACATGTGATAATGGAGCGACACGAATCCCCGAGAATTTCATGAGCAGCCCCTCCATACAGAACACGTGACTATTTGGTGTGCATTGTCCAGAATAGGCATCATTGAACCATGATTTTTTGGAGATTTCCCTGGATGCCTTATCTTTTACGAGGCGATTGCCAATGGCCAACGTGCTTGCCAGATTTAGCCCCATGTGATTTCTTTTTCTGGGGCTATCTGAAAGCTCTAATGTCCAAAGACCCTGGCTCAACTGAAGAACAATGTTCAAGCTGCTATCGACAACATACCCATTGCTATGCTGGTAAATGTGGAAAGAAACTTCAAAACTCGACTTTTCAATGCATTGACCAGAATGAAGGCCGCCTTAATGATATTATTTTTAAACAGTAATGAAAAAGAACTTTAAGTGTCTCTCTGTAACTTGGAAAAAAATTAAACTGATATCGCTTATACTATTTGTGTTATTCATTTTTAAAATAAGGTAGTTTCCCTGCCACACCCTGTAGATTTTAATTTTGTTAATAATATATGTGTATTTACTAATCTGGAAAACATAATATATATATGTAAGATAAAAAATATGAAAGCAAACTTCTAATTTTATTTGGCTATAACCTCTTTTATTTTTTATTTAATTTCGGGACTTCCACTTTCTGTCTTAGAAATAGAGCCATAAGTCTAAATTGCATCATTCAAATTAATCATGCGATCTTACATAACGCATAATGCAAATACCTCTTGCCCAATCAAATAACTGTAAACCAAATCTTTTTCTAACTCGGAACTGAAACTTTTCTTCGACGCCATCCCTTCTACCTCTGAAGTACTGCAACACTCTTCTCTTTTCACTCACGCTTTCATCCTGTTAAGATGCTGCTGCAATCATCTGTTTGTTTCTATAGCTATAGTATCAAAATTGTTCTGGAAATAGGCATGATTGGGAGTGCCAAGTGAATTGTGGTCACAAATGTGAATCATATAAAAAATGGAAACTGCCTCAACTGCCAAGTTCTTAAGTCTTTACGAATTCTATGCCTTAAGTATCAAATACCTTTGCAATCAACATTTCTATGCATCTACATCTCAATGTTCTTAAATCACTGTTTCCAAAATTGTGCTATTATTACATACATACACACACATATATATATGCGTGCGAGTGTGTGTATGTTTCTGCTTGCATTTGTGAATGTCAAAATTTGAAGAAATTAGAATAATATGTATTATGAAGTTATATATAAAATTATGGCCTCAGATTAGTGTATTCATTTTATATGTGTAAAAATCTATGTGTAAATCAAATGATGAAGAAATGGAATACATTTATCTATGTTCCCACATTAATTTAAAAGTAATATATTTTTATCTTAAAATTATCTGATATGCACAATTTAATGTAAATAATGATAAATTTTATCTGAGAAGAAAAACTTTCTCTTGAATAATTAAGACACAATAACATGCCGAATAAATACTAATTCAGAAGTCAAACAAGAAAAATCAGCGTTATATTTACAAAATTTTCGCAGGACTAGTTTCGATGGTTTTACCGAACCACCATCCTCAGCTGCAAAACCAAACCGAGCTCTTGAATGTCAATCCCTTTGACTAAATGTGAAATATTAATATTTGCAGCTTTTGAATTTCTGGATAATGTTTTTATATGAGAGAGCAAAAACAAGTTTCTTGTATGGTTTGAAAATAAGTGAAAATATTTAGTTTTGATTTTGCTTTTAATGCCAATCACACAATAATTACAAATTTGGTATAATATTAATTTTAATTGGTGTAGAACTACACGATTTTGCAGAGTTTAATACCATTAAACTGTATATAATGGTATGTAACCAAAGAAAATTGTAAAGAATGTTATTGATTAGTAAGCAAAAATTAATATTGTTACGAAATGCCCAGGTGACGTAGGATAGCTCCCCCGCAAGGTTTAAGGTTGCCAGAAAATGGCAAGGGAAGGCAGGGTTGCCACATCTGGCAAGCTTCTGGAACGAATTCATACTGGTTTAGACCAAAATGTTCTCGAACATAAGCCAAAAGCTATATAAATCTGCTGGTACGTGGAGAGTCAGTGTCTTGTCTAGCGAATTGATAGCCAGTCAGTGAGTGCCTAGTTGAATCAGTTAAGAGTCAATGAGCGAGTCTGAAAGTCTAGTGCCGAGTTATTCGTCGACTGCATCCAGAGAGTCCATTACTATATCGTGAGTTAGTGCATCGTCGAATTTCATCTTAAAGTGTGTTGAGCTCCAGGAACGACAGAACCCAGTCTGGAGCTGTACTCTAGTATATCGTCGAGTACATTGCAAGTTGTAGCGTGGAGAGTCTCGAGAGTATGTAGAGTTCCGAGAACAACCGAGCAGAGTCGGGAGCTGCACTGTGGTGCTTTGCCATGAAACTGTCTTCACTGTTATAGCCTGATAGTCTGAAGGTTGTGTCGCTGATTGTTTCAGTGTGTTTATTGTAGTTCTTCGATGACTGTAAACATGATTTTGGAGCTGTCTTGAATAATACTAGCTAATAAATTATGTTTCGATACTTCATCAAGTGTCGTTGTTATTTACTCCAAATCCGTGAACCCATACATACATAAAGAAAATAAACACAGCAATATTATTTGAGAAACTTCCCTTAGATATACGAGATGTATTCAGAAACTAAGTACCGTTCTGAAAAAAAAAAATAGTAAAACAATTTTTTCGAATCCAATTTTATTTTTACATGAAAAAACATGTCGTAAACTATTTTTCAACATAGTTTTCGCCAATGATCAAACACTTGTCATAGCGGGTGACCAGTTTTTGTATACCATCGTCAAAGAAACTTCCCGCCAGTTTCGATAATCACGACTCCACAGCATTTTTCGTGTCATCGTCGATCCAAAGCGCTTGCCCACCAAGCTCGCGCTTCATGTACAGGAACAAGTGATAGTCGGATGGCGCCAAGTCCGGGCTGTACGGCGGGTGATCGAACTGCTCCCAATGAAACTGTTGAATTAACGATTGAGTGACACCAGCAGTATGGGCCCGAGCATTGTCATTGAGCAACACAATTCCTTTACTGAGCATTCCTCTTCGTTTGTTTTGAATGGCACGCCTTAGTTTTGTTAAAGTCTCACAATATCGTGCCGCATTAATGGTTTCACCTCTGGGAAGAAATTCAGTAAGCAAAATGCCTTTCCTATCCCAGAAGACAGTGCACATGATTTTTTGTGATGACATTGTCACTTTGAACTATTGTTTTTTCGGAGAATGAGTGTGTCTCCAATCCATCGATTGTTGTTTCGATTCTGGTGTGAAATGACACACCCTAGTTTCATCACCTGTCACAATTTGGTTTAAAACGTTTTCTCCCTCATCACTGTACCGGGTGAGAAATGTCAGGGCACACTACCAAGTCGCTTTGTTTTGTGAACATCAGTGAGCATTTTTGGAACCCATCGGGAACACAGTTTGCGATAATTCAAGCGGTCAGACACAATTTCGAATAAAACAGTACGTGAAATTTGTGGAAATGCCTCTGAAAGAGTTGTCATTGTGAAGCGTCTGTTCTCATGAATTGCTTCATCAACTTTCCTTACCAAATCATCGGTGACAACAGAAGGCTGACCACTCCAAGCCTCGGCGTGGACATTTGTTCGACTTGCATTAAACATTCTTACCCACTTTCTCACCATTCCATCACTTATCGCGTATTCACCGTAACTTCTGTCACTTGACGATAAATTTTGGCCAGTTTAACATTCCTCGCGTTCAAAAATTTAATCACGGCACGAATCTCACAGTCAGCGGGAGAACTAATTGTCTTAAACATTTTGAATGTGCACAGCAAACTGAAAACACAACATAGAGCAACCAAAATGGCGACAATTGAAAGTCAGTGAACAAGAAAGACTAGTGCACATGCGCGGGTTGCCTACCACAGCGCTGCAACGGCGCTAGAATGAAACGGTACTTAGTTTCCGAATACGCTACATAATTCCGTCATCTAAGCATAAAAAGTAACCAGTTCTTCAGTATTTTTTGTTAATATTGTTTAGGAGAGAAAAATATATTTGTTTCTCATATACTACCGGGAAAAGCAAAGTATGCTAACCCAAGATCATCTTGGCTGACCATGCTTGGCTGTGACGTCATCAAACATTAGCTTCAGGTTTCTCCCATCAAGATGGCCTTGCAAGCAACCCCAATATACCAAGAAATCACTGAAGACTGCCAATATGGATGTTATGGCTAATAAAAATAAGGATATTCTGATCCTGGCATAAGACTGTTTTTGAAATCACTATGAAGCCAAAGGCAAATTTATTACATAAAATTTTATCATACAAATGTAAAAACAAGTGTATCAAGTTCTGAGACAATATAACTGGTTTCTTCTAATTAAGAATATTTGTTTTCTTTTAAGTATCATTTTCTTCTCAAATACCTCATACACCCTCTAGTTGAAATGAATCTTCAATTTATTTTTTTATTTATAACTTGCTTTTCAATTAAAAATAACTGTCAGCAATTCCCCAAACTGAAGTTTATGCTTTAATTTTATTATATTTTAAGATGAATCATACATAATATAAATACATGAAAGTTAGAGAATTATTATATATAATAAATTGCTCACCAAGTAAAGCTTGAAATAATCTGCACTTAAATATCCTAATTACTCTTTCTATTGCATTCCTCAGTTGTTTATCTTGTGGTCTAGTCAGCTTACTGTGATATTCTTCCAGAAGCTCTAAGGCTCGATGTGCCTCTATAAAATTCAATGATAAACTATATTGTTTTAATGCATGAATAGTTTAACAAAAAACATAATATTTATGTAGTTTAAAATTATATTTATGTAGTTTGAAATTAAGTACAGCAATAGAATGACAACAGTAACACTAAGTGCAATGCAGTATAGCTGTAAGTCTGTTGCTAAATAATTTAGAATTAATTCATGACTAATGAAAAAAAAATTGAACTAATTCTATTTCAGAATTAAAAAATACAAATACAGCAAAACTGAAAAATAACCTCAAGTTTTTAAAAAAATAGAGATGATTACAAATTATAAAGGTGGCTTTTCTAATTACAGTATATTTAAATAAGCACTGTTGTAAAATGTTTTCATAATGACAAGTATGAAGCACTGCAGAAATGTATAAGTGTTATAAGGTATTTCTCCTGCCTTCTTAGCATGCCTCCGTGGTATAGCAGTCAGCACACTTGGCGCGTATTCGAGAGGTCCATGGTTCGAGTCCTGGCGAGGGCATTGCTCATTTTTCATGACTCCTGCTATAAAATAATCCTAATGACTCTACAGATGCAGCAGACAAACATGGATCCCCGGCCCAGGTCCGACTTACGAACCCATACGGAGTCTGGATATCTATGGTCCAGGGAACCTCATCCTCGCGGGCACAACTAATGACTCTACAATAGCACCCGAACTAAAAAAGGTGGTGGATGATGATTTTCCACCACCAGGATTTGGCGATTAGGTCAACTAATCCCCAATTACAACTTAAAAGGAGAGGTATATAAGATATTTCTCCTGCCTTCTTAGCACGCCTTTGTGGTGCAGCGGTCAGCACACTCGGCACATATTCAAGAGGTCCATGGTTCAGTCCCGGCAAGGGCATTCATGACTCCTATTTCAAAATAATTCTAATGACTCTACAGTGCAAGCATTCTTAACACTGCACATAATTTTTAGACCACTTAAAGGAAATGTGGGGGGGGGACTATACAGACAAATCAAAAGAAGATGATAGTTTTTATCAGGTAAGCAGAAAAGAAGAATTTGATAATACAATTTTTTCCAGTAAGTTAGCCTTTGTAAATACTTGAACCTATAAATATATATTTGATTAACTGATGTCTATGTTATTTATTTCTGCTTCAGTGATCGAGTTCCATTCATAACAATGATAATTTTCTCAAAATGTTTTACATTTTTTTACATATTTCACAATGTCAATGTTCATTATTACTAAGGTTATTTTAAGTAGAAAAAATACAAACATTTTCATTTAAATTCTCTAGATTATTTGTATGCAACAAAGGGTTAACAGTTCCATATCAGAAGTGAGCATGGGAAAACTCTACAAATTAAAGATCAGTTAGAAATTTAATAATTTATCATTTTAAAGATGGTAAAAGTATTTGAACTATGGAAACAATCTTTGATATAAAACGTTCAACAATCTTCTATCTTATATAAAATGATGAAAATTTAGTGTAACTGTTGAAAATGCACTGAAGTCTGGATCCCATTTCAAGCTGAAACCAAAGAATCGGAGATTCATACTCCAAAAAAATCAAACAAGATCCAAAAATCAGTACTGTAAAATTTGCAGCAGATTTAGAAAAATGATTTGCAATAAAAGTTAACCCTGAATCTGTTAGAAGAGTCATAAGCACGTACAGATACAATTCGGCAAGAAGGAATTCTTCCTCAAAAAGAAAAAAAAAGGAAAATACACCTAGCATTCGCAGAATCCATGGTAAGCAAAGATTTATCACATTATGTTCTATTTTGAGACAAGCCAAAATTTCATATAATTGATTCCAATGGATGGTGAAAGCTGAATCAAACATTTAATCTGAAAAAAATCTATTGTCTAATGTTAAGCACAGGAATAGAGACATAATGTTTTGGAGATGTTCTCCTGTCTCTGGGATTGGAAATTTAGTATTTGTATAAAATAATATGGATCAGTATGAATGTTGAAATGTTCTAAATGAAAAAATAAAAGCATCTGCACAAAAACTTAAAATGCAAAATAATTCATGCTTTGTCAGGATAACGAGCTTAAGCATACAGCCCTAACTTATCTTTTGTGATTAATACAAAAGTGTCTTGAAGTTATCAAAACGCATTCATATTCTCCATATTTAAATCCTATTGAACATTAGTTCAATATTAGGAGCGAGTTGGAGAAAATAATAAGGAACCAGGATATTTTTTTAAAGCTCTACTAAAAGCAATTCTTATGGAACAACTGGAATGGCACAAATGGAGCAAATGGAATATTCTTGCCAAAAAAAATATTGAATTCATGTCAAAGCATGTGAAAAGTGTAAACTTAGCTAAAAAGTGTCCAACAAAATATTCAATGACTTAGGTGAGCAGGTCGCATGGTATAGGCACCAGAGCATAATAAAATCCTGCGTGTAATAGCATGGTGTCTTATTATTTTTATGTTTTAATTAGATATAAACTATTTTATTCAAAGTGTTGGAATACTTATACGAATTCATTTTCAAAACATTTTTAAAGATTTATTTTTGTTATCAAAAAGATGTTCAACAACTTTCTTCAAAACAAGCAGATTTTTAAAAAGAGGGTCAATAGTATGTGTGAAAGAAAAATAACAGCCATTTTGCTAATATTATTAATAACTAACATTTGAAAATAAAACTAAAAAACACAGGTGTTCAGAAACAAATGTGAACCACTGTATATACACAGTTTATTCTTTTTATTTTTTACTTTTGATGCAAAGTTTAAAAAAAGGGGGGTCTGAAATTCTATTCAGTCATTTTTACACATTAAAAAATAAACAAGGTTTTCAATACATGAGAAGCTTCAAAAAAAGTTTTTAAAAATTGTTTTTAGAATCAGAAATTTTAATCACAGTGTAAGGTATTTTATTTTAATTAATCAATTATTATAATTCAGGCCCTTACTAAAACTTCTTCCTGTACACCTCACCAAAAAGCAAATTAGGTTTTTTGTATATTTAAAAGCCCAAGGTAGCCATGCCTTGCTGTTACTTACTCTCAAAGTGACATACTGGCTTTACTGTCTTGCAAGCCAATACTTTAAAATATGTATTAGCCTATTATCTAAGCCACCTTAAGTAATCTATTTTACATGCAACATTTGAATATAACTTCTGGTATGTTATAAATATTGTTATAAATACCCAATAATGGTGAAAGTTTTGTCTGTAGCACAAACTGCGCCTATTCTATTTAGTTTGAGATTAAATAAAAAATGTTATTTTACTCTTCTTCAATATTTGTCATTTGCTTAAAACTAAGTGATAACTTGCTAGCAGTCTAGTAGAGTCTGCAGGACTGAGTGCTGGTCATAAAGCTTTTCATGTTTTTTCTACTAAATAAAACTAACATTCCAGGTCATATAAAAAGTCTTTGCGCTTTTTTGTCACTAGATGGTGTTGATGCCTATATATCCGGCAACACTCACCAAATTTTTCAAACAAACGTTTGCTTAATAGGTGACATTCAGCTTCCATTGTTTGTAAAAATAGTTTTCTAATTCGTTGCTCGTGTAAAAAGTTATATTGATTTGAAAGTGAGTGAAATATCTGAAGAAATATGCTATGTGGTGCTTTTTTATTACAAAAAAGGTAAAAAGGCTGCAAAAACATGTCAAAAAAATTTAAAATACAGTGTATGGTGAGAATGCTGTGAGTGAATGAATGCTCCAAGGAGTGGTTTGCTTGATTCCATTCTGGAAATTTCGATGTCAAAGATGCACCTCGCTCTGGTCGGCCAATCACTGAAAAAGTCGATGAAATTTTGCAATTGGTGGAACAAACCGGCACGCAAGCTATCAGGAAATAGCAGAGGCACTAAACATTAATCACATGACAGTTTAGAATCATTTGAAAAGAGCAGGTTAAAAAAAAAAGCTCAATGTTTGGGTGCCACATAATGTGCACAACTTGACCATTTGAACGAAGCAATACAGAAAGAGCGACCAGAATTGGCCAAAAGAAAGGAAGTTGTATTCCATCATGACAATGTGCAACCACACACATCTTTGATGACTCGGAACAAATTGACGGAACTTAGTTGGGAAGTTTTGATGTATCCACCATAGAGCCCAAACCTTGCACCATCTGACTACCATTTCCTTCATTCTCTGCAAAACTCTCTTGGTGGTAAAAAATTGGCTGACCCAAGAGCCGCTGAAAATCACTCTCATAAGTTTTTCAATGATAAACCACAGAAGATCTACACTGATGAGAATATGAAGCTACCTGAAAAGTGGCAAAAGGTCATAGAAAATAATGGTCAATATGTACTTGATTAAAATTGATTTTCAATAAAGAAAATTTTCATTAAAAAATGTTCCAAAAAAGCATGGAGACTCTTTATATGACCCAATATTTCACTGACTTTTCTCTTTCAATAAATTAATAATAAGCAGATGGATTCAAACCATTTTGCAAAATATTTAACTATAACTTTGCGACAGTTAATTTCCTGCTTTTCTGCTAAGCAAACATTATGTTTTATACAGTCTTCTCTCTTTCAAAAAATGATAATTAGGAAGATTTACTATAAAGCATATTAAATCTAAGTGATATTTTTAATGTATTCACATAATTTTCTTAGGCTTCATAGCACATAATAATTGATAGCAAAAATAACTACAACCTTGTTAAACTAACCTCATTTGTAATACGTATAAACTTAAATTCATGGCAAGTTCACCATAGACTGAGTGGCCATATACTGATAATTTGGACTAGTTTTGCTTATCAGCCACTGAGTAAGTTCCAAAATGTTTTTCTTGAATGGAATGCAAACACAAGACCTAGTTTTGTTTATTTTTCCAGAAAGATACTGCTTTGTTCTTTCTATGGAAATTGGCTCATATTCCTGTTACATGCTGGGAAATCACGATAACTTCATACAGCTAAGTAAAAAAACTGAGCTATTAATTATAATGGTAGTCTGAGCCTCTTGGTCTCAACATTAATTATTTTTTAGGAATTGAAGTCTATAAAA